TCACATATTCCACATACACGTGTGCACACAGAGAAGGAGTCAGGAGTTGTAGGTCAGAAAGCAAAACCAAGGACATGCTACAATTCCTTCTAGAACAAAAGAGAAAAGGCACCTCCACACATTTTTACTGATGAAATTTGAAATGGAACAATAACTGAAACCAGGTGCTTTTCTCACTGCAGTTAACTAATTAAGAAGATAGGATCTTTGTGGGGCGACACTGCAGTGTTAGCTGGCACCCAGAGTTGGCGTTCTGGGTGCTCAGATCCACGTGAGCCCGCTTGCCCCTCTTCTGGCACGGGTCTTTGGAACACCAGCAGCAGGCCAGGCATGCAGACCCTTGCCCTTGGCCTCAGATACAGAAGCAAGCTATTTCCAGACCATTGAGGGAGCCGCGTCTCAGACCTCTCAGCGTGTGGTGCGTGGCGTCTCCTCAGCCTGCCTTCCTCCACTGCGCACCAAACTGACCTCAGAAAAGGGAAACTCGCTTGCCCTGGCCCCTCTCCTTTGCAGGTCACGGTTAGGATCCGAAGGAGACGGGGCACATGTCCCAGAGAGTGCACACACCAAGGAGGGCATCGAACCCACCCCCGGGGGCAGAAGGCAGGGCCCTCCGCAGCACTTGCTCTCACTGTGGAGTCAACAGGCCGTTAGCTGGCCGAGGAAAGGAACCTGGCCAGCCAACGGCCTGCAGGACAGTGCGATATCCAGCTGCGAGAGCATGGGAAGTTACATGCATGGCTTCTCACAATCCCCCCTGAGCTGGGGTCACCGCAGCTGGGCTCAGCCTCGCCCCCAGCCAGCTGTGTGGCCTTCACCGAAGCACCAGCTCCCTGGATTTGTGTTTCTTCCTAAGGAAAAGCAAGGACTGGTCAGCCCCCGGGTGGCGATAATAGGAACCATGTGTGGAGCCTTCAGATTTACAGATTCCTAAGTGTTGCCTAAAACTCACTGAATGGGGAAGTAGTATATTCCACATATACATACATACACACACACACACACACATACATACATACACACATATATACACCACACACATATACTACACATACACACAACACACACACATTACACATATATCACACAATATACACACCCCACCATATACACACACACCACACCACATACATATGCATACCCCCATGTCACATACACACAAACCACACCACACACATCCATACACACACACACACTGTACACACCACACACATATACCACACATATACATATCACATACACACATTACACATACATCACACAATATACATACCACACCATATACACACACACCACACCACATACATATGCATACCCCCATGTCACATACACACAAACCACACCACACACATCCATACACACACACACACTGTACACACCACACACATATACCACACATATACATATCACATACACACATTACACATACATCACACAATATACATACCACACCATATACACACACACCACACCACATACATATGCATACCCCCATGTCACATACATACACACCACACCACACACACACAAAAAAAAACCACACATACCCACCTACCACACAAGAACATACATACACCACACTCTCCTACACACTTGTGTATTCATGTAAATATTATATATAATATGTAAACCTTTATTTCTGTATATATACACATTCACATATACAATGCATATTCATATATAACATTCGTATTTATTGTATTATATTTTCATGCATATGCATATAAATGTGCATCTACTGTTTCATGAGTGCATATGTGTATATACACCTAGATGCTTGCATGCACATGCCCATATACAAGGTAAATGTGTACATATATTCATGTTATGTGTGTGTGTGTATGCACATATTTCACATACACATAACATCCCTGTGTGTGTCCCCCATGCTGCTGATGACTGGGCTCATGTGACCTGGCCAGTTCTCTGTGTCCCTGGGATGAAGGTGATGTCCACAGATGCCACCCATCACTGTGCTCAGTAACAAACACTCTTGTAAACAGTTGCTGAGCTCAGAAGCTGAAACTCACGGAGCCGATCTGTGGTGTCTTATTTTAGGAGGATCATAGTGAACAATTCGATATAAGCTCTAAGAAAGATGCTAAACACATTATCTGCAGTCTACAGCGCCCTCTTCTTAGCTGGATGCTCACAGCCAACTGGAGATTCTTATTCTGCACTTGCAGAAGAGACTGGCAGAGTCTGTGACTTTTCCAACCCTGTGCAGCTAGAGGATTTTGACCCAGGCTTGCAAATTTTGGAAAAGTGAATTTTCCAGCTCAGAATTATTTCCAAAATTTTTGTCAAGAAGAACTATCTGAATTAACAGGGTTGTGTTTTTTTTTTTTTTAACGCCCAACATTTTTAGCAGTCAGAAATTCAAATTAAAACCGTTTAAAAGCTGAGGAGACAGCTCAGTACAGAGCTTGCAGCGAAAGCGTGGGGACTAGAGTGAAAGTCCCCAAAACCCACATAAAGCCCAGATGCAACGGGGCACATCTGTCAGCCTAGCGCTCCTGCTACAGGATGGGAACTGGAGACAGGAGAACCCCGAGAAGCTCACGGGCCAGCTGGTCTGGAACACACAGTGATGACAGACCCTGCCACAGAGAAGGTGAGGATGAGGACCCATACAAGAACTTGACCTTTGACCTACACATGCAGGTCATGACCCATGTGCACCTTTCTCATGCCCCCCCCCCCCAAACTGCTCTACGATTCCACCTCACCCCGGTCAGAAGGGTTGTCATCAAGGACCAGGACAAGGCACACTGACGAGGATGGTGGGAAACGGGGCACATACATGTTAGTGTCTGTATGAAGGGGAGGCAAACCTGTGCAGCCACTGCAGAATTCAGCGTGGAGGCTCTTTAAAAGCCTGCAAACAGAACCACCCTGCGACCCAGCTCAAAGCTCCTGGTTGTGGACCCAAAGGACTGGAAATCAACACGCCAGAGAGATACCTGCACAGCTGTGTTTATCGCTATACAATTCACAGGAACCAGGACATGGAACCGCCGGCCCATGTGTCCACCCACAGGTGAACAGACAGGGAAAGTGTGGCATGTGTACACAGCAGAATGTCGGCAGTGGCAAAGAAAAAAATGGCATCACAACATTTGCAGGAAGACGGACAGAGCTGGAAGCCATTGTGTTAAAAGAAACAAGCCGGGCACAGAAAGACAAACGACCACGTCTTCGCTCATCTGCGGGAAGCAGATGTGAAGTTACACATGTGAGCACGTGTGTGGACATGGGCGGAGGGGTGTGAGGTAGGAAGAAAAGCATGGCAGGGGGAAGGATAGTCACGGGGGACAGAGATGGGAACGGAGTAGGGAGCTAAGTAGGCGGGGTCAATGCAGGGTCCAGGGGGAGCAAGATGGAAGGGGTCAAGGGAGCAGCCGTGGGAGAGGAAAGCGAGCAGGGCTGACATGTGTGAAACACCACAGTGAAACCTTGTGTGCTCACCAAGAACTTTAATTTACAAAAGACCTGGCTAAACAAACAAAAATGTCCTGGCTAATTTCGCGTCAGGTTGACACAAGGTCCAGTCATCAGAGAGGAGGGAGTCTCAGCTGAGAAGATGAGAATGTAGGCAAGCCTGGAGGGTGCTTCCTTCCTTCCTTCCTTCCTTCCTTCCTTCCTTCCTTCCTTCCTTCCTTCCTTCCT